AAGACGAGTTCCCTGTCACAGAGACACCAAAGGCCACTCGCTGCTGTTGCTCCCCGTCCGAGGCAGCAGCCAGCAAGCAACTGCAAGTCACTGCAGGAAAACACCAGAGCCAGGAATCACGACTCCTCTGCTACACTTTCTGTCCCCTTACCCACAGGATCCCAGTGCTGCAAAGCCCTGAAGTTTGCTCTCTGGAGATCGAGCTCCAGCAGCCTGGTCTTTGCATGGCAAGCGGAGCTTCGCCCTGGAAGGCTCACGGCTTTAACCTTTCCCATTCATGAGGGGCTGTGAGGCCTTAGGGAAAGAAAGCAAATGAAAATGAGATTTCAAAGGGGGAGAAAGGAGGTAATGACAACTGTGGTTTTTCTTTACCCAGCCCAGTAAATCTTGGCTGCCCACTGCCCCTCCCCGCCATCAGCCTCGCAGCCCACGGAGCAAAATCAAGGCCCTTTCGGAGCAAAATCAAGGCCTTTTTGGGCCCCCACGCAGCGAGGTCCAGGGTCCAACCCCGCAGGTGTTACTATGTACCTCCCAACACCAAGCCCCCACCATGCCACCCACCCAACAGACCACGCTGGCCAAGGAGAAAACACAGCCTGACGGGTGTCAGATGGAAGCTCTTGTCTCGCTGCAGCTGAAGGCATTTCCACCCTCCCCAGATGCTGCATTGACAGGGATGGACGTGGAGATAATGCTCCCCGGCTTGCTGCCACGCCGCAGGGAAGGCAGGATGAGCCCCTGCGGGGGACTGCAACAGCATTTCCTGGATGTCAGGAAGCAGAAGCGATAGCTGCCTTCTGAATACAGAAAAAACCCTCTTCTGCTGGGCTGAGCCCTCGTTTCGGAGGGACTGACCACCCCGCTCTTCACCTGCCAAACTACCACGTCTCCCCCCATGCCTGTGCCGAGCCGGCAGCGCTCGAGGACCCACCAGCAGACCATTACGGTCGGACACGGTGATGGTCACCATGCCGGTATGCAAGCACTTTTATTGCACAGCCTCATCCTGACGGCAGCACTGGGCTTTGAGCTCCCAAAAAATGAGGTAGGACAGAGAGCTGCAGGGACCGGTCATGGGGGAGGGAAAGGTGAGGACCGGGAGCATCCCACCCGGGCAGGGCCACGGCGAAGGGTTTTCCTGATGGTAACCTGATTTGGAGGGTTTTTCTTTAGCCTGGAGAAAAGGAGGCTGAGGGGAGACCTCATCGCTCTCTACAACTCCCTGAAAGGAGGTTGTAGCGAGGTGGGGTCAGTCTCTTCTCCCAAGGAACAAGCGATAGGACGAGAGGAAACGGCCTCAAGTTGTGCCAGGGGAGGTTTAGATTGGACGTGAGGAAAAATGTCTTTACTGAAAGAGTGGTGAAACATTGGAAGAGGCTGCCCAGGGAAGTGGTGGAGTCCCCATCCCTGGAGGTATTTAAAAGACGAGTAGATGAGGCGCTTAGGGCCATGGTTTAGTGGGCATGGCGGGGGTGGGTCGGCGGGTGGGCTCGATGATCTTAGAGGTCTTTTCCAACCTCAATGATTCTATGATTCTATGATGCGGAAAGGTACTGCGTCCAGAGACGCACATCAGGCTCAACAGGGCAGTAAAAGGCATGTGTTAAAAATAAAAGCACTACACAGCTCAAGTGGGAAGGGAGAAATGATGCTCGGCACTGTTGCTTTGCTTGCCAACCCCAAGCCCTGGAGCTGCCTGAGCGTGGGACAAGCCTTGGGATGCCCAAAAAAGCCATGAGAGCTCTCAGGCTGCTCTTGGGCAAATCCAAGAGTTTATTTTCTGCTGGGCAAAACACTGAAGCGACTGAGACGTTTGGCTGAACAAGGCAGCTCATAAACATCCCTGGACGCTGGCTGACGGCTCATTCCGGGAGAAGAGTCCAAGTTTGACAGAGTATTTTCCATCAAGCTGAAAACAAGCATAAAAATCATCACCGGTAAAGTTTCCGTGCAACAAAAATCAGCAGGAAAATGGGAGCAAGGTCAACACGCTGACAATCAAGGCCTTTTTTTAAGTGAGGTCCCATTCCAGCTGGCAGCAGGTTTTATGCCCAGGAGCGAGGACTGCAGATGGGGTCCTAAAAAACAGTGTACGGCAGAGACTCAACTTATACGTCCCTCACTCGGGGGCCAATGGTTATCTCTGCTGCACAGGCCTGGGTGTGCTCCGCGGTGCAGTCCCAGAGAGGGGGAGCCTGTGTTTGGTTTGCCTTTTTTTAACCTGGGACTAAAATTTCCTCCTAAACAAAGCTGTTTGCAATGGGGCCGAACCAGATGTCAGAAGTTGGTTGGAAGCTTACGCGGCTCCCAGAGCCAGAACCCCAACCCTTCCCCTTCCCCCACCCGGCTAGACACGCTCCAGCACTCGGGACTCCCCTCCAAAAAAAGAAAAAAGTGCAGCCCCTTCCACACTGCAGACCTGCCACCCACCCTCGAGACACCTTCCAGCTCAGGGGTTCGAGTGCACGGACACGCTCGGGGCGCAGGGTGAGAGCTCTCCGTCGTGTTTTCTGTCTCACTTCCATCACCGGGGGCCACGGGCAAAGATAAATAGCCTTAAAAGCTCTTGCCATCCTGAGGGGAAGTTAATTTTTCCTATGCAAGCGAAGCTACAGGAAGGGAGGGAGATGGACAGCAAAAATCCTGGGGATCTCCTGCCTCGCAGCCCAGATCCCCTCCTTGGGCTGCAGTAACAGTGCTGCCGGGGCGACCGGCAGCCCTAACAGGCAGCACGGGGTCCAGCCGCTTTGGACGTTGCACCCGTGGGATTAACAGCCCCTGACGCCGAGACCTTTGAGACAAGACGACAGGCTCAGCCTCCCGAAACCTTCGCCGGACCGTCACAGGACCCCCCGCTTTGCACAGCTTTGTAAACTTCTGCTAACAGGAGCACGGCTTTCCTCGAGACACGGCTCCTACCCCGGCTCCCGGCACAGGGCTCACTACCCAAACCACAAAGACGGGAAGTTATTTCACATTCTCCCATGCCAAAACAACACGTCTCTGCCGACGCACCCGAAAGGCCGCGGATCGGCTCGCTCGCTCTGAAGTTTGCGCACGATGCTGGTTTGAATTAGGCCCGAAGAATTCAGATCCAGCTCCTCCGACACCACCCATTCTCCAGGCAGCGCTAATAAAAGCAAAATAAATGCTAGGCGGGGGAAACACTCAGACACTAACTCCGGGGTTAGTCACTTTTCCTCTGTGCCCACGCTCCCATTTTAGGGCAAGCAGGAGCCTCCATGGGCTGCAGATGCAAACAAGCCGCATTTCTCCACGGGAAAAGTTTTTCCAACCCCTTTTCACGCTAATCCCGCTCTCCGGGAGCGAGGCTGCACTATCTGCCAAGCCCCGGCACGCCCTCCGCCGCCTCCCCGGCCGTGCCCTGGGTAGGAGGGCGAGAGAGGCCTCTCCTCACGGTCCCGGAGGCACAGCAGCCCAGCCAGGTCTGCGCGGAGCAAAGCTCAGAAAACTTCTTCCCTAAAGGAATTTTTTCCACATTCCTGCATTTCTCTGCTTGGCAGACTGCAGCTTCGGGCAGCGAGCCAGCCGAATTCCTGGGGTCTGGGGAGCCAGTGAGCGGCGGGGACGCTCCCGGAGGCACACAGCAGCCCAGCCAGGTCTGCGCGGAGCAAAGCTCAGAAAACTTCTTCCCTAAAGGAATTTCATCCACATTCCTGCATTTCTCTGCTTGGCAGAGGCTGGAAAACATTATTATTGTTTTAAACCCTTCTGGGAGAAGGGGGAATAACAGCAAATCCCACACACACAGGGATTTATGCTGGAGGCAATATGGGGCTGGGGTTCAGTCCCCCGAACTGGGGGACCCTCCTGCAGCAGCACCGCGACAAACCAGGTCATGCTGATGGCCCCACCGAGCCGGTGGGGGCTGCAAAGCCACCGCAGCTGTCGGAAGGACAAACCACCGCAGGCATCTGTGCCACGGCTTCCCATGAGTGACAGACCCCGGGGGGACCCTCCCAGGATGCGGAGGGACCTCACGGCACCCTGTCCCCCGGGACCCCCTACCCAGAGGGAGGAAGGATCCCCTGATGCCTTGTCCCACACGACTCCCTTCCTGGGGGGTGGAGGGACCCCGAGACACCCCATCCTCCACAACAACCTTCCTGGAGCACACGTGACGTCCTATCCCCCGTGATGCCCTTCCCGGAGCATCCACGGATCCTGCGATACCCCGTATCCTGCGATGCCCTTCCTGAGTCATACATGGACCCCATGCCACCCCATCCTCTGACACCCTTCCCAGGGCACCCATGGACCCTGCGATGCCCCGTCCCCCGTGACACCCTTCTTGGGACACTAACGGCCCCTGGGATGGTGGATGACCTCCTGCGAAGCCCATCCTGGGGCATGTCTGGACCTCATGACACCCTACTCCCTGTGACACCCTCCCTAGGGTGTCCACGGACCCTGTGATGTCCTACTTCCCGCAACGCCCTTCCTGGGGCATGCACGGACCCTACCACACCCTACCTCCTGCAGTGCCCTTCCTGGGGCATGCCTGGTCCCCATGATTCCCCGTCCCCAGCGACACCCTTCTTGGGGCGTGCAGGGACCCTGTGATGCCCTACGTCCCGCAAAGCCCTTTCCTGGGGCATGCATGAGACTTACCACACCCCACCTCCTGCAGTGCCCTTCCCAGGGCACGCACGGACCCCATGACACCCCCATCCACTGCGATGCCCTTCCCGGGGCACGCATGGACCCCATGACACCCCCATCCACTGCGATGCCCTTCCCGGGGCACGCAGGGACCCCATGACACCCCATCCACTGCGATGCCCTTCCTGGGGCACGCAGGGACCCCATGACACCCCATCCACTGCGATGCCCTTCCTGGGGCACGCATGGACCCCATGACGCCCCATCCACTGCGATGCCCTTCCTGGGGCACACAGGGACCCCGTGACGCCCATCCCGGAGGCCTCCCCTGCTCTGCCCCCATGGGCGTCGGGCGATGGCCGGCAGGACCCACTCACCGCTCGTCGGGCGCGCGGCCCTGCTGCAGGGTGGGCTCCAGGGGCACCAGGGCCTGGCCCAGGAAGCGGTCCATGCCCACCAGGGCCCGGTGCATGACGGTGAGCACCAGGCCACCGCGGGCCGGGGCGCCCAGCTCGGGGGGCAGCTCGAAGGCGCACTCCTCACGCCCATCGGGGTTGCCGGTGCTCTTCTCGGCCACCGAGGTGCTGTACTTCTCGCGGCCCAGCTGGATGATGGTGTAGGCGTCGCTGGTGCCCGGCTTGCCGCCGCCCTTGCACCGCAGCCCGCG